AATTAAATTTATTTATTTAACACCAAAACTAAAATTAATATTAATTTTTTACCTTATATATATATTTATGATAAAAAAAAACCCTTAACATGTGTATTAAGGATACAAATTAGAAAAACCCTTAACATATGTATTAAGGATACAAATTAGAAAAACCCTTTATTTGTTTAAGATTATTGATATTAAGTGTATTTATTCATTTAATAATATATGAAAATTATATAAAAATGATAAAAAATTGTTCTTATATCATCTAGAAAAAGATAAAGAAAAGAAAAAATAAAAGGAAGTCTCAAGTAACATAGGGACTAAAGTGTATTTATTCATTTAATAATATATGAAAATTATATAAAAATAATAAAAAATTGTTCTTATATCATCTAGAAAAAGATAAAGAAAAGAAAAAATAAAAGGAAGTCTCAAGTAACATAGGGACTACATTTTTACTTACTTTCTTTCTTTTTTTTGTGATACAGAAACAAATTTTTTATATGACATTTTTATATAACTTTTACATATTATTAAATAAGTAAAAACACTTAATATTATAATTGTCAAATAAATAAATGATTTTTCTAACTTGCTTTTTAGGATCCATGTTAAGGGTATTTTTCATCATAAATGTATATAAAAAATAAAAAATTAATATTAATTTTAGTGTTAGTGTTAAATAAATAAATTTAATTGGATAGTTAGAAAATTAAATGTTAATTTTTATTTTTAACACAAATTTATTAAAAAATATATTTATTATATTCTTAATTTATGTTTTTAAAGTATAAATTAAACAAAATTATGAATAAAAAGAATTAGTTATTTAAATAACATATAAAGTTATATAAAAAATCATATAAAAAATTATTCTTAAATCAGTTTTCTTTTTTTTGTGATGATTTGAGGACAATTTTTTGTTTACTTATTTATATAATTTTCACATATTATTAAATAAGTAAACATATTCAATATTACAAATTCTAAATAAATAAAAAATTTAATTATTTAAATAATATGTAAGATTAAGATTGTCCAAACAAAAAAAGTTTCCCTAAATCATTTATTTATTTTTTTTTTTTTGCATCAAGGTGGGCAAACCAGATGCAAAATCGCTTGCCACGTAGGCATGAGACAGCCACATTTCGCCACACGATGCAGTCCTCGAACGGCAGTTAGCAGCAGTTAAGTTGACTGTGAGAGGAGG